CCCCCACAACGGAAAGGATGAGCATGTTTGGGGGGACGGGGATTCGAACCCGCGACCCTCAGATTGCGAGTCGAGCGCCCTAACCACCTGGCCATGCCGGGCTGTGTGTGTGTGTGTGTGTGTGTGAAACACATCATCCTCTGTTTTGTTTTGGTGTACCCTTTGTGTGTGTGATTTTGTTCTGTTTATATGTCATCCACCTGTGCATGTATTTGATCATTTTATTATCAATAATTTTCCAACGACATTACTTTGAGGCCCGGCATGGCGCTCGACTCGCAATCTGAGGGTCGAGGGTTCGAATCCCCGTCCCACCAAAGATGTTCACCCTTTCAGTTGTGGGGGCGTTATAATGTGACGGTCAATCCAACTATTCGTTGGTAAAAAAAGAGTAGCCCAAGTGGTGATGACTAGCTGCCTTCCCTCTAGTCTTGCACTGCTAAATTAGGGACGGCTAGCGCAGATAGCCCTCGTGTAGGTTTGTGCGAAATTCAAAAAACAAACAAACAAAAACAAACAGACTTACTTTGAAGTACTGTACATATTCCATGATTTTTTTTCTTGACTACAAAGTATTCTTAATTTGCATGAGTTCTTGTACGAAATATGGAAATTTTGAATTTAGTAACCCAGTAATTGGTTAAAACAAGAAACGCATTTTTACTTAGTTTTTTTACATCGTTTTAAAATAACTCCGAAGTTGGTAAGTTTACGAACTTACAACGCAAAAATCTCGGGTTCGATTCTCTGCGGAGGGCACAGCAGATAGCTTAATGTGGCTTTGTTTATGTCACGTGACTCGTGTGTGCATAATCGTGGTACTCCGTGATCCTATAAGGGTGCTATATATATATACTCTCTTTTATAATTAACACTTGTACATGCGCGAGTGAAGTTTCATATTCTGTTTTGTTTCTAATTTGCACGTGACAACAATCTTCATACCGGGTGCCTACCGTGACAGAGATTTAAATCCGATTAACCCGATTTATCTACGGGAAGATGGACGTGCGCGTGTTAATAACGGAGAACTTGGCGTACACGTAAATCGTATCTGTATAGACATGATTAAATTGTGTTTATGCAAATGATAACGTGCTCAGCATCTAAATATTCAAGCTTAGACTAGCGTAGTGTAGACAAAAAAGCAAACTTTGTTGTACCTGGGTGTTCTTATATTACCCGATTTTCGATGTTTTGTTGTAGGTAAATCTTATGGTCAGTAACGTTGATGATGGCAAGAATAAGAACATTGTCTCTTGTCGCTAACGTTGTTGATGATGACAGGAATCAGAACATTGTCTCTTGTCGCTAACGTTGATGATGGCAGGAATCAGAACATTGTCTCTTGTCGCTAACGTTGATGATGACAGGAATCAGAACATTGTCTCTTGTCGCTAACGTTGATGATGGCAGGAATCAGAACATTGTCTCTTGTCGCTAACGTTGATGATGGCAAGAATAAGAACATTGTCTCTTGTCGCTAATGTTGATGATGACAGGAATCAGAACATTGTCTCTTGTCGCTAACGTTGTTGATGGCAGGAATCAGAACATTGTCTCTTGTCGCTAACGTTGTTGATGGCAGGAATCAGAACATTGTCTCTTGTCGCTAACGTTGTTGATGGCAGGAATCAGAACATTGTCTCTTGTCGCTAACGTTGATGATGGCAGGAATCAGAACATTGTCTCTTGTCGCTAACGGTGATGATGGCAGGAATCAGAACATTGTTGATGACAGAAATCAGAACAATACGTATTAACGTTGTTTAGGCGATGAAACTCGGAAGATAAATTTGTTGAGCTATTAACGTTTGGCCCCGCAAGTCGGCGCCACTGTAAGCGTTGATAGATGACGATAAGTCAGAAGCTTTGATGGTTTAAATCACACCAGACAATTTGCAATGCCTGATTATAACCGTTTATGGGAGATAGTTAACGGACTTGGGAAAACACGACACTGCTCTAGCTTAGTGATTAGTTTGCTGAGCTGTGAATCCGATGATTCATGGTCCGCATCCCGTTGTCATGAAGACTCGCTCTGCACTTTGCAGCCGTAGATGGACTATAAGATTGACGGTAGAAACCAGTTATTCATCTAGAATAGCCCAAGAGTTGGCGGTGGGCGCTGTTGACTAGGTGCTTTCTCTTACGCATTACAAAAAGCTGATGACCAATCATCTTGTCGTATGTATCAGGTTATGAAACGTACATTTTGGTCCTGGTCATAAATATAATCCTATTTGTAAGTTTTGTAATCGGTTTCGTACTTTACAGTGAAGTGTTGTAAGTTTATCCGTGTCTGTCTGTATGTATGTGTGCGTGAAAATGACAGGTTCTGTTGATTGGTGTGTTGGTAGAGACGGACCAGTAATTATAATGAATGAATCATGCAAGCATATATCTTGACGTTGAGGATGTCGTTTCATATTCAATCTCGAAATTAATTCTTGACTCACTTCTTACATCCCTCCTTTTTGTGTACTTGTTACCTAAGCTGTATATTAATTTTGAGACTCATCTACTCCACTTCTTACCTCCCCCTTTTTGTGTACTTGTTACCTAAGCTATAAATTAATTCTGAGACTCATCTACTCCACTTCTTACCTTCCCTTTTTGTGTACTTGTTACATAAGCTGTATATTAGTTTTGAGACTCATCTACTCCACTTCTTACCTCCCCTTTTTTGTGTACTTGTTACCTAATTCCAAGGTTAATTTCTCCGCCTATACACTTACATTTATTTTGAGTCGTACATATTTTTTATGTGGATGTTACAGATTTTCTGGCGACAAGTAGAACCTAAGTAGATATCTGTAATCTCATAAATGTGTAGTGTTATAAGTGAAACCTAGCATATACATCCCTGTTCTCTCCACCAATAGATTACATAAATCGCAAAACAAGAAACCTCAATGTATTCAGTCCTTCGTTTTGAAATCGTTTGAATGATCCGTTTTTTTATTTTGTCACTTTGATCTTACCTAACTTCTTAGTCACAAATAGAATACTTAAAATATTCGAAACAAAGGAAAATAATTATAAAAAATACACAGGCAACATATCTAAAGAATTATCCAGGTGGCGTCATTTTATAAAATCTACTGGTAGTGGAGGCCCGGCATGACCAGATGGTTAAGGCGCTCGACTCGCAATCTGAGGGTCGCGGGTTCGAATCTCCGTCACACCAAACATGCTCGCCCCTTTCAGCCGTGGGGGCGTTATTAAGTGACGATCAATCCCACTTTTCGTTGGTAAAAGAGTAGCCCAAGAGTTGGCGGTGGGTGGTGATGACTAGCTGCCTTCCCTCTAGTTTAACGCTGCTAAATTAGGGACGGCTAGCGCAGATAGCCCTCGTGTAGCTTTGCGCGAAATTCAAAATAAACAAACTGATAATTGTATGAATAAAATATGGCGTGTAGATAAAACATACAGCATAGATTTTTTTTTTTGAGTGGGTGTATTGTGAGTGTTGAACTTTTCGCTATAAATAAATAGTGTTTGATCTTACATTTGTTTATTTACACATATATATATATATATATAAGTGTTAATGAACACGTTTTCCCTCACAGTTCTAAGTCTACGTAACACACAAGAAGATGAACCCCCTGACCCACAGTTAATGAGACTAGACAACATGTTAATAGCAGAGGGAATCACAGGTCCCGAGAAAGGTGGCGGCGCTGTTGCAGCAACTAATGCGTCGGCAGCGGCCTCTGGTGGACCAGGCCAGCTTGATCATACGATAGAACATTCAGATTACAGATCTAAGCTAACACAGATTAGACAGATTTATCATCAAGAACTCGAAAAATATGAACAGGTAAGGAAATTACGCTAATTACAAATAAGAATACTTATAATGATCATGTTTCTTTGTTGTTGTTTTTAAGTTTCGAGCACGTTTCGAGTCTAGAATTAAATTAAACGTTGTTTGACTTTATATCTTATTTAGTAAATATTTCTTATCATGAACACGAAAAACAAACTCTCAATCATTAAACTTTTTGCTGCACAACAAAATTTAAATCTTTAGACTTTTAAACTTACACAGTGTTTGTGTTTACTTTCTAAGAGAAAAACCTATAATTATGTATATATATATATATTTTATTATTTATCTGTAGAATAGTTATTTAAAAAAATAGTATTGATTATTTATTATTAGTATTGATTATTTGTGCTTTTTAACTTGCCATTGTTTCTCTAATACCTTGCTTTAGGTCTAGCATGGCATGGTGGTTAGGGGGCGCTCGACTCGCAATCTGTGGGTCGCGAGTCCGAATCCCGTCACCGAACATGCTCGTCAGGTCATCCGTGGGGGCGTTATAATGTGATGGTCAATCCCACTATTGGTTGGTAAAAGAGTATCCCAAGAGTTGGTGTAAGGTGGTGTTGACTAGCTGCCTTCCCCCCTAGTCTATTATATAAAAATTAGGGACGGCTAGTACAGGTAGCCCTCGAGTAGCTTTGTGTGAAATTCAAAAATAAACAAACAAACGCACTTTGCTTTGTCTGCGTAGCTTTGAAGGAAAAGCTAAGGTTCGTTTTCTAATTCAGTTCTTTTTTTTCTGTAGTTATTTTTTTTTTTACTGTTACATTTTATTAGACGTGGAAAATTGAACACTGTTTCTTTTTTTAGAAGTAAATGTATGGTATTTATTTCTCCCAAAACAAACAAACCCAAAAGATATAGATATTCTGAACTATTTAAGAAACTGAAGAACGATTATTTAAAAAGTGTAAATAAATGTTGCGACGCTTAATTACTCGAAATGAATAACAATTCCGTCCTGCCCTGCTTTGAATAAAAATAATAAAACCACTGATACGAAAAGCAATTAACTCTAAACAGGAGAGAAGGAGAAGAAAGAAGAGAAATTATATTACTGTAAGACAGCGCGTGTTTTATTTTCCTGTTACCATAGTTACAGCTGTTGAGATAATGAAGTAATTAGGCAAACTAGTTTTTGTCGGTAAAAATATAACGTCTTTGTTATTGATAAGATTTTTTTTTTATTAACAGATCAAACTGCCGTATGGGTGTTTGAAATATTTCTGATTTAAAGGGTGAAATAATACAGCATTTGTATAGAAGAGTTTTTAGTTGATGTG